CCAAATCATTAATGCCACATCAAAAATATCAGCCCAAAATTTTAATATCACTATTTTAAAATTGTGCTCTAATAATCTTTAATGTGAACTATTTCATCGCACTTTAAAAAATTAAGGATTATTTTAACATTTTCAATAAACTTTGGGACTAAAATGATCTCATATAAATAGTTGGGAAGTATCAGTACTTTACTCGAAATATATAAGAAATAAGTGGTGAGCAGGTAAATCGCCTTTAAAATTAATGTCAAATCGTTCGAAATGAAACTAGCAAATCCAATGAAATAAGTAAGAAAAAAAAAAACTTTATATGAAATTATCTGCAATGAATAAGTCCAAAAGAAGGGTTCTAATATAAAACTAAATTAAAAATAAGTAATTATTTGTAATAAAAAACTTACTTTTAGTTGTTGAAATTGTTTTCTTCCCGCGTTCTCAAAAAGATACAACTAAAAATTGTGCTTTTCCATTATACCTAGCTAATTGTAATGATTGTTAGAAAACTGTGGTACAATTTTTTTAAAAATAATTTGTAATAATCATCATAATTTTTTGAACAATAATTTTTTTTTCAGCCACTTTGAAACTGTTTCTTCAAACAACGACTGCCTCAATCAGCAAAAATTTTTCTGTCCGGATTCCTGACGTAGCTCTACGTGCGGCACAGGGTATTCCTGAGTTATTTCAGGTTATTTCTGGATTATTTTCAGTAATCCCGAAATAACCCAAAAATAAAGACCACAAGTTAGTTATTTCTGGGTTATTTCGGGATTACTGAAAATAACCCAGAAATAACATGAAAATAACTCAGGAATAATTTGCACCGCACATAGAGGTATGTCAGATGTCCAGACAGAAAATACGCGCCTCAATCAGACCCTTGAATGCCTGCCTAATGCATATCTGAAAATAATTCAAAAAAAAAAATTCTTTCACCTAAAACGTTTCACCCAAATAGTAACCCAGTTTTATTTCTCCCTCCAAATTCCACGTGGCACTCATCATAAAGGGCTAGATTTCTCTCGTTTGAATCTCATTATTTTGACGATGCCCGGATTCGACCGTTAAAAACTCAAGAACGCTCCCCATCCCTCACTCTTCAATACTCGATCCTTCCAAATTCAATAACCCTAGAATTTTTTTTTTTTTCCTGAATCAAATCTCTGATTCTCCAATCCATCTAGTGCACCGATGTCGACTCCGGTGAGAACGCCTCGCCATTCTCGCTCGAGATCATCAGATTCCTGTAAGTTTTCCGAGAACCTGCAACCCAATATCCCCATCTCCACTCCATCGAAGAAATCTACGCCATCTAAGAAGTCCGCAAGCAGATCGGCGTCAAAAGCTAGAAATCCTTCGCTTTTCTCTCCCCCTCCACCTCCACGGCCGCGTGAGAGGAAGTTCGTCATCGCCAAGAAGAGTAACTCTACAAAACAGGCGAACGATCTCGAGGCCAAGAAGCGACAGGAAGCCGCATATGAGAAGCTCCGTTCTTCACAAGAAGAGTTCTTTAAGAAGGACATGGTGCCCTTGCTCAAGGCTGAAGCGTCGAAGAATGAACGGGAGAAAGAGGAGCTGAAGGAAAAAGAGAGTTTGGAGAGGAAGACGAAGAGTATGTTAATGGAGGAAGCGATGAACAGTATTCCAGAGCCAGGGTCTGGGAGGGTGAAGCATCTCGTGAAGGCTTTTGAGAGTCTTCTTTCTATTTCGGAGAAGGGGGAAAGTGGGAAGGAGAGGAAGAATATATTGATGGACTGGTTGATGCCTAACTTGGCACCAAAGGCTGAAGAGAGTAATGGATGCGACTGTCTTTCTTCACCTGGTTTTTCTGCTGCTGAGATGTTCCCTGTTAGAGGACATGAAAGGGAGCAGAGGCTTTGCTCTTCTTTGGATGGGCTTGATGGAAGGTATTGTGATTGCTCTCATTACTTTGTTAATCTGAAAAAAAAAGAAGTTTTTTGTTTGGTTTTAATTATTGTTTCTCTTTATCAATTCGAATTTCCTTAATATAGGTTGAGTTTGTCTAGCAGAGCATCTGGGGCAGGAAGGAGGACTAGGCGCCATGTGAGAAAAACTTCTCTTAGTTTGATTATTTTATGTTCTTGTTTGATCAAAGTTTTTTTATTTTTGTTTCCAGTGAAAAAAAAACATTTTTTTGTTTTTTGGAGTTGTATGAAATTTAGGTGGATTGGCTTTTCTTTAACCTTTTTTTTTATTATTTTTATTTGCTCTTTTAGAGCCTTGATTCCTCAAGGAAGAGCTGGAACAAGAAGCTTCAGGTGACAAACCAACGGCCTTTCAAGTTGAGAACTGAGGTATTCCATGAATTTATGATTAGTATTTGGAAGATTTACATGCACGCCTCTCAATTCTTATGAATTTGCACATCTAAAACCTATTCTTCAATTTTTACATATATATACCACCAAACTACCAACGCATGAAAATATGTATCCCTTTTTAAAAGTTAAAAAGTGGTATGATGGAATTTTTTCATGTGATATGAAAAGTTTGTGTGGTATAAATGCAAAAAGTAAAATTTAAATGTTAGATATGTAACATAAAAATTGGTGGGTATGTATTATATTTCTTGCTACACTGAGGTGGAGCAACTTAAATTGTAAATGTTGTAGAAGCTATATCAACTTAATGTGGATGAATGAACTGATATCAAATTCATGTAGCCCCTTAGATCAAGTTTCTTTTTATTATTTTTAAAGAAGTTCAAATTCCTTCATGAATAGCATCTTGTGCTGGTTTTCAAGGCATTGTATTAGTAGAGCAAGTTGTTCTGCTGTTCTGAATTTCTATATGAGCAGTATCCAGGTTATTTTCTAGATTGGATTTCTTCTTTAGAAAGTCATTAGATTTAATTTGCAATTCTACCAAGGCTTCCTTGTTAAAATGGAGGTAGAATAGTTTTAGCTAGCATTGAAACACTCAATTATGTAGTGAATTTTATTTGATCTTGGAATATGGTATTATCGAACTCTTTTCATCGCTTAGATCTTGGAATATGGTATTATCGAACTCTTTTCATCATCGCTTGTAAGATTTTGGGAGTCCTGATAATGTTTGTGGTTCACAATTAAATTTACTGAATTTTAATTATGGCAGTTTTTAGTGCTCTTCTTCTATAAACCATGGCATGGAAGCTATCCCCTTCACCTATATCTGTCTATAAAAACATTTCTATTTGCTCTCCTGTTTTTTTTTTTTTTTTTTTTTTTTTTTTGCATTGTTCATTAAATGATTGTTTGGAGTTTTTTTTGCTAACAAAAATGTCTTTTTTAAATAAACATTACATTTGTTTCAGCAAAGAGGGAGGCTTAAAGAGCAGATATTTGTGAAGAAGGTGACTGAAATGCTGCTAGAGGAGGAGAAAAGAAGAATACCAATTGCACAAGGAATGCCATGGACCACCGATGAGCCTGAGGTGACTCATTTCTCTTACTTTATGTAATAGAGTTTCATCTCAAGAAACAAATTATATAACCTGAAACTTGTATTCTGTTGGGATGCTTGTAATTTGTTATAGCTTATTGATAGCGATGAGAAGGGCAGATTACTTTTTAGAATAAATTTTTTGAAGTAGTACCAATGTAATTTTTGACCTAATATGATTGGAATAAGCATAATTACTGTTGATTTCTAAATCTTTTTGAATATAAGTGTGCTGATCACAATAGCCAAGTTATTGGTCATAACTCCATAATTGAGTCAATCAGTCGAATTGTCTAGTCATCTAAGTGAATTATCTAATTTTATATATTGTACTCTCTGTGGACCTAGTCTATGAACTTTCGGCCATAAAAATGGCAACATTGTTTGTTTTTTAAATTGAGGAAGGCACTAAAAAATTAAAATTGTGAAGCCAAACATATTAAAATTAAATTTTCACAAGATATGATTGAATATCTTCTTTAAAAGCAAATATTCGACTGATCAAATTTTTTGGGTTATGAAAATTCTTTAGAGAAATTGTTTTAATGTAAAAATCTTGAATAGTTCATTTATTAGCTTTAGAGAACATGCTAAATCATTTACTAACTTTCAAAAATTTTCATTTATTAAATTTAGAGATTAGAGGGGATGATAGGGTGGAGCTATTGAGTACAAATAGGATGTAGATTTTCTTTTTGAAGAATAATAAACATATATGACTAATTTTTTGTTCTATTAGAAGAAGCATACTAGAAATAAGCATTTATTTGGACACTCTTATTAAAGAGAATGAAAGAAAGTAATAGTAACAACAATAATATTTTCTTCTTAAAGTTGAGCTCTTGTTTTCATAACAAACAATTGCATTTTCCATACAACTTTTACGCAGACATAGTGTAGTCTTTATTTTTATCTCCAACTTTGTTAAAAATAAACTCTTGATATATAATATATATTTTTTAAGTTTAGTGAATATTTAATCCATGTGTGGCCATAGGTGCGAGTGAATCTCACTAAATGAAAAATTTCTCTTGTATTTATGATTTCTTTCATGTTTTTTACTGCTTATTGTTCAAATCTCTGGCCATTTCTTTCTAGAATTCTTTCTTATCTTCTGACATCTACTAACTAGTTTATTTTTGGATTTAGTTCTTAATCAAACCACCTGTAAAGGAGTCTACTGAACCACTTGATATTGTGCTTCATAGTGATGTTCGAGCGGTTGAGCGGGCAGGATTCGATCAATTTGTATGTCTTTCTTGATCTTTTATACGCGTTGTCATCCGAATGAGTACACTTCTAACTTTCTTATAACCATTGGCAGGTTGCAGAGAGGCTAGAATTGGCTAAGCAGTTTAAATTGGAAAAGGAAAGAAGACAAAAGGTATATAATTTAAAAAAAATTTACATACATACCATACAATTCTAATGCATTTACATATCTAACGACTAAACTTTGATTATTTACACTTACACCATTTTATTTATAATTAAAAGGTGTATTTTGCTTTTTAAAAGTTCATAATAGTGGTATTTTTTGTGTGATATGAGTCATTAGATGTAATAAATATAAAAATCAAAATTTAGGTGTTAGATATTTTAATAGACAGGGATTATGTGGTATGAATGTAATTGCCCCATAATTTAATTTGGGGCAAAAATAAAACTGAAATTTGAATCAACAATACAAATATGCTATATGCTAACTATATAAGGTATTGTTTGAATTTTTTTAACAAACGGAAGAAGAAGAGGAAATAAGGTGTTTGAGAATTCCAATATATTTACATATCGAACAGTTAAAGTTTGATTTTTACACTTATACCAATATCTATTCTTAAAAAGTTGTATTTCACTTTTAAAAGTTCATAATAGTGGTTTCTTATATGATATGAATTGTTTGGCTGTTCTAAATGTAAAATTCAAAATTTAGGTGTTAGATGTAAATAGATGTAATTACACATTAATTTAATTTGTTGAAAAAATGAAAGTGGAATTTGAATCATGAATGTAAACGTGCTTATAAACTAACTATATAAGGTTTTATCTGAATTTTTTCTTACAGATGGAAGAAGAGGAGGAAATAAGGAGGTTGAGGAAAGAACTTGTACCCAGAGCTCAGCCCATGCCTTATTTTGACAGGCCGTTCATCCCCAAAAGGTAAGCTTATGAAGAATTAGGGTTTAGGGTTTAGAGGCCACATGAAAATTATGCATTTTACACATTGAACCCTAGAGATAATTTAAATAGCTCCATTCCAAAGCAATTACTGCCAGAATCAGATGACAATTATGCATTTTAAACCTCCACTTGCACTAAATATGTTTGTAGCTGGCCCCACTTAGTGGGATAAAGGCTTGTTGTTGTTCTTGTTTTATATGCTACTTTACCGATGCATTGAAAGGTGTATTTCACTTTCTAAATGTTAAAATATTCTTACTTTTGATTTGATATGAGAAAGATTTGGATGATATAAATGTAAAAAGCTATTTTTAGGTGTTATATATATGTAAATACGAGGAATTGTGTGGTATGTTTTGTAAAATGCCTCTCTTTTTTTTTTCTTAAGTTGAACCACTATATAAAGCAATTTTTATTACTCTAGCTAGAAGCTATACATATAAATGAAGCCTGGGTTCATATCTACTCCATCATAGCTCAGAATTCAACTTAATGTATCAAATAGTGACTTTATCTATATCATAACTCGAATTCAACTCGATGTATCGAGTAGTGACTCTATTATAACTCGTATTCAACTTGAAGTGTTAAGTCGCAACTCGACCTTGAGCTTATGCTCGATATCTTTTTCAAATTTAAGTATCTCAACTTTATTAAACATGAATGGGGTACGACTTAAATTGATCAATGCATAATTATCTTTGCTAAAAGTAAACTGGGGATTTCATGTTCCTTTTTATTTTTGCCATAATATCCTTTGTAGGTTGGCTCAATGAGTCATCGAGTCAAGTCGTAGCTCGTTAAGCATAACTCATGAGCATTAAACAAGTTGAGCTCGAGCCAGCTCGACGTATTCAATTATGACTCATGAAGTTATGGCTCAAAAGTTTATACCTTGATCTTTTCGATGTAACAATGGGTTCACATTCCAGGTCTGCAAAGCCGAGGACGGTCCCAAAGGAGCCAAAGTTTCATGTCAAACCCGCCGAAGAATCATGGTAAGCATCAAGAATGTTAAATTGGCAATTGCCTTAAATCTTGTCATAGAGGAAAATTTGCATACATAGCACACAATTCTTATATATATTGCATACATAGCTCATATATTTAGTGCTAAAAAGTTTAATTTAATGTCAATATACTATTTTTTTTTTATTAGTTACAAAGCAACAAATCAGTGTTTGTTTGGTAGGAAGATTTGCGAGCATTCAATGATCAAAGAAAATGAGGCCATGTGAGCTGCTTTTCATGGAGCTGCTGATCATGCTAATTCTTAAATGTTTCCACCATTTTTTACATAATTGACCTGCATGAAAATAATTTCTTGCATTGTAATTTTTGAATTTAGAATGGTTGGGTGATATGAGAGAATATGTGAGGAGTATTTTGCTATTTTCTTTGTAAATATATTTTTCAGACTGCAAACATAAAAGCCTGATTTTCAGTTTTAGAATTGGGAATTATGTATTTACATATGTGCCATGCAATTTTTATGTATTTACATAACTAAACACTCAAATTGCACAATAATTCTTTTATAGAAAAAATTAAACTTGTATGGATGCATTAAGGGTCTGTTTGGGGCAGCTGTTGATAAGCTGATTAAAAATAATCTGTTGATAAGCTAAGTGCGGGTGGCTATTACAAATTTTTTATTTTTTTTGGAAAAGTCAGACCATTGTCAATTAGCTCCCACCGATGTGAAAACTCAATTTTCTGCGTTTTGAAAACGCATAAGCTGTCAAAACATAGTTTACCCAAACAAGTCAGGCGTGTTTTCGAAACGCTACCGCACTAAATAAGTTGCCCCAAACGGGCCCTAAGTTTCAATGTCTTGTAATGAGGGATTTATGTGTGTGTGTGTGTATAAAAATAATATATATATATATATATATACATGCATCGAAGCTACCATCGCTTTAACTTTTAAGAAGTAATGCATGCACCTTTCCATGCGAGTAAGATGGCATTTATGTAAAGTTTGGTATTAGATATGTAATACATCGAAATTGAGGGATATCTAAGTAAATCTTCCTAAGTTTTTGACAAATAAAGGAGCTGGTCAACAAGATGGTGCGTCAATATTATATCATATTATAATATTTAATTTAAAGATTGTAATTTAAAAGAGGGTGCTGTAATTTCCGGCATTCATTATCAGATGCTGCAGGAATTTTACATTGCACCTTCCCACTCATTTTCCTCTTTGTGTATGTTACAATGCACCCACAACATTTAATTCAAAGATTGTAATCAAAGGCCTGCAAATTTTTTCGCACATTCAACCTCGCGAAGCATATGAATGCTTAATCTCTAGGACACGTGCAAGGCATGCTTCTTGCAATATGTTTCAGGATAAACAATTTATTCTGAAACGTGGCCAGCGAGTCGACCCGCGACCTGCGTTTAGTGTAAAAATAGAGCCGCATTTTCGGATAAGCAGACAAAACACACGATCTAAACGGTATCGCGTTGTTTTCAAAAACGCCCCCGTGCTTATAAGCTGCCCCAAATGGAAGAAATTATTCCGTACGGACACCGCATGCAGAGATGCATGCGGTCCCCTATCTCCACCGTCCGCAATCAAAATTAAAAAAAAAAAACAAAAGATGAAAGTGGGGCCCACCGAAATACATCTTTGCGGTGATCGACGGTTGATATTTACATTTACAACACCTTAGCATCCTATACATGGAGAAATTATTCCGTACGAACACTGTATGCATTAATGAATGCAGTGTCTAATCTTCACCGTCAATCACCGCAATCAAAATTTTTTTAAGAAAAAAATTTAAAGTGGGGCCCACCGAACGGTGGAGATCGGACGCCACATGCAGAGATGCATGCGGTGTCCATAAGGAGTAATTTTTCCGCATTAAACTATGTATTTTTTTATGGTGATGTTAAAAGCTTTGAGTGGTATGGATGTAAATCCCTCTTAAACAATTATGCAAAAACTAATTGCTGTGCCAATTCAAATTATTATTCTAACAGAAATGAAATAAATATTCAAATTTACATTAGCATGCCACTGAAACATGTAACAAAGACTAGTTTGTATCAGCAGAGGCTCGGATCAGGCAGAGCTCAGGAGTTTTCTGAACCATTGTACAGACTTCTTCGGATATCTCTTGAGGCTATCTTTATAATCAACATAATACAATCCAAATCTAGATGTGTAGCCTGCTGCCCACTCCCAATTATCCAAAAGAGACCACACGAAATATCCGCGAACATCGCAGCCGTCGTCCCTGCAACATAAAAGTTTTAATTTTACAAATACGGACATAAGGTCTTTGTTTGTAATTATACAAGGTTTAATATGTCAAGTTGAGAGAAATGCCTGATAGCAGCAGACAAGTTTCCGAGATACTCAGAATGATATCTGATTCTCTTATCATCCTTCAGAGCATCATCGATAGAGATAAGTGGGTTGTTTGAATCATCCATCCCTTGAAATGTTTTTGTAAGATTTCAGAGATGATGAAATCAATAATTTTATAAAAGGGGCACATTTACATATTTACCACACAGATCTTATATATTTACATATCAAACACCTGGACTTTCAATTTGTTACATACATAATACCAAGGTGGTATAAATGTAAATCACAGAGTTTAGATGTTAAATATGTGAATGCATAAGAATTGTGTGGTATTTATGTAAAATTACCTTTATAAAAACGTATATAGAAGGCATGAACTTACCATTCTCAGTGATAATAACTGGGGGATTTCCATAATTGCGTTTGATGTAGTTCATTAGACTTCTCAGACCATTAGGAACAATATAAAGCCATATGGAAGAGGCCTGTGAGAAATATTTTATGCAGGCTCAGTCACAGATCCTTACACATATCCCACTCAAGTCCTATGTATTTACATATCTAACACTTAAAAATTTAATTTTTACAAACATACAAACTTACATATACATGAATGGTGTATTTCACTTTTTAAAAGTTAAAATGTTAGTATTTTGTTATGTGATATGAAAGATTTGGATAATGTAAAATGTAAAAAGTAAAATTTAGATGTTAGATGTTTAAATACTTAGGAATTGGGTTGAATGTATGTAAATGCCCCTTAATTTTTCATTATAAACGGGGCCGTTGATTGGCTGAATTTGTAAGAAAATTATTGGTGAGTTTTGTGCAATCATGTTATTTTAAGTTTTGTTTGCTCTTCGTGATTTGAAGTAGGACCAGTCTAATTCCCAACATATAATACAGATTTGATCATGCATGTACAAGTCATCATTTTTTAATTAATTTTGCGGGGTGTTGCATGAGATTTTAGACCTATTTTAAGCTGCATGTACAAGTCATCATTTTTTAATTAATTTTGCTGGGTGTTGCATGAGATTTTAGACCTATTTTAAGCAACTATACTCATTAAATCAAATGTACATTACCTTATCTCCAATGGCATGTAAACCCCTGAAAGCTGCAAATGATCAAAGTTTATCAGAATTAGTAATATTTCTCTGAAATAATAAGAACAAAAAACTGAGAAATAGATAAATTCAATCGCAGCTATTGAGAACAACTTAAAAAGCACTTGTTTTGTTAAAATAATAATGAAATGTGTTTTACATAGAAAATATTTTGGAGCATCGAAGGTTTGGAACGCAAACTTACGCAAATTAATGGTGCCAGAATCCGCCAGTGCATCGTTGAATAAAACTCCGATGAAGTTTGTTGAATTTTCCATGGCGTAATATGTCGTGTAGTGATTTATGCCAACAAAATCCAAGGAACCCTTAACTAGCGCGACATCGTCAGGTGAAAAGGTTGGTAATCTAGTTCCAACTCGTTCTCTCATTGAGCTTGGATAATTCCCAAAGAAAAATGGATCTAAGAACCTGGCTTAAAGGTAAAGTAAATCACATAAGATTTGTAACTCAGCATATCATATTTAATGATTTAGATAACATACAGAAACATACATAATTTTTTATATTACAGAATTATATCATGTTAGGCTTTTACAAAAGCAAGTAGAGCATTCAAGCAGCATGTTTCAGTATAAGAAATCAAGTTATTATTCATTAATAGTCTATGATAAACTTGAAATATGATAAAGAACCTTCAGAACCAATTCGGAAAAATGTCAGATGTATTTCTATTTGAGCAAACAATTTAATAGGGAATTCGACGATGAATCAATTTTCTCGTTATTCTATGTTCCGATATGTCATATAAAAATATCATGATTAAGAAATGCACAAAGAAACAAATATAGTTTTACCATCCAAGATGAAAATCTAGCGCTCTTTGAGTAGCAGCAATGTCTTTAGGAGAATTTGAAACAGGCTCGTACCACATAATATCAAATGCTATCCCAATTGAGCCCTTCTGCACCGCCTACAAACATGAGCGAAAAATGAAACAAACATATTAATGAGTTCCTCTCTTTCTCTCTCTTTGCCTACTTGAAGAGTAAATGCATGTTATACATCCTATGTAGGATATAACATAAACATTTTCCTAATAGAACTATTTCAAATGGTCCAAACATAGAGGCACATGTTCAAATAGAGAGAAATAGTCGTTCTATTGTTATTCTTCTTTATAAACATAAGCATAAATAAAAATGTCAAAATGGACCCTTGATTCATTGCAAGAGATCATTTTACTCGTATAATCTATAAAAAATACTAAATTAATCTCCAAACTCTTTTAATATAAGCTGAAAATTTTTCAAATTCTTTTAAGGTGATGATTATTGCAAACTCCATTAAAAAAAATTGGAGACTAATTTGACATTTTTATGTATTGTGGGACTAAAATTACCCCCTATAAACTATCAAGGGATTTCTATCCATAAACATATGCATGAATAGAATCTAATTTATAATGGGAAATTTACATACCTAGCACACAATTCTTATATATTTACATATCTCACACCTAAACTTTTATATTTATATACGTAGCATTTTGATGTTCTAAATCTATGCATGAAAAGGTATATTTCACTTTAAAAAGTGATAATAGCGTTATTTTTTATGTGATACTAAACATTTAAGTGTTATGTGCAAGTAAATATGAAAATTTAGGAGTGAGATATGTAAATACATAAAAATTGTGTGCTATGTATGTAAATGCCCCATTTATATTTATGCATGCTCTAAACCTATACATGCCTGCACATATGTAAGCATATCATTATGTTCGCGCGTTACATAACTTTCAACCAACCATGAGGATAAAACATGTCACTTCAAGAAGGAAAAAAAGTAATATTAGGCTTATCTTACCTTATATTTTCTCTTATATATGTTGACAACGGTAGAATGAGATAGGAGGATATTATGGGCAACAATATAAGGTTCGGTCCTCGAGTTCCCCCCTCGACAGAGAAGGCGAAGGAGAATGGAACAGTGACCTGGGGCTTGCAGCCCAACATCATAGCCTTGGATTGCCAAAGTGTGAGGTTCGTTGAAGGTTATCCAGTGGTCAACCCTATCTCCAAATGCATTGAAGCATGTCTCGGCATAATGTGCAAAATCATTTCTACAAAATATCACAAAAGTTTTGGTTTTTGAGTAAAATTGGTTGAGTGTAGGAAAGAAGGAAAAAATAGTGAAAACTCATTGTAAAGATTAAGTCTACTCAAATGTAATGAAAAAATTCAATCATCTTTTTGGTATCTATTAAGAGAAAAGGTTGGGAAATTTGCAAACTTAGCACACAATTCTTATGTATTTGCATATCTCACAGCTAAACCTTTATATTTACATTCGTGATAGAAGTTTAGTGTTTTAAACCTATGCATGAAAAGATGTATTTCATTTTTAAAAAGTGATTATAGAGTCAATTTTTATGTGATATTAAAGGTTTCAGTATTGTGTGCAAATATGAAAGTTTAGCCATGAGATACATAAATATATAAGAGAATTGTGTTGTGCTATGTATGCAAATTCCCCAAAAAAGATTTAGTACTTGGTATTTAGACTTGGTTAGCAAGCAAAATAATTCACTGAAAAAGTATAACACTGTTTATGAGAATTATTTATTTACTGGAAAGTGCATTAACGATATAATTACATTATTTGGTGACTAAGCCAGCCACTGTATCTGTCTTCTAAGGCTTGAGGAAGGTCCCAATGGAAAAGTGTAACATATGGTTTGATGCCTGTAAATGTAATACATTTTGTAAGTAGCTAAACATGAAAGCTTAGTTCTCAAAATTATAACATTTTGTTTGTGACGTTAAATAATCATTTGTGATTTTTTTTTTT